CTCTGGTCCTTGTCCCTGAACTCCTTCCTGAGTGCAGAGGCCCGTTAGGCTTTGATGAAGAGTGAGGCAAAGAAGGCGTCATGTACCACTCGCATGAAACCACAGCAGCTGTCCCATATTTTCCTTGTTCAGCCTTGTGCTGCTGAGACAGCCATAGCAGCTTTTCTTGTTACCCTTGACATTATTTTTTGTTTGCTTGCATTCCTTTCAAGTCTCAACTGCAGTTGAGCTCTGGCTTTCCTGAGACGGAGCAGACAGTGTTTCCAAATTCATCCTTTTGTAGGCTGTCGCTTCTTCCATCTCCTGTTCACTGCCTATGTGCATTGGAGCTCTGCCATGAGCTCCTGCGTAGCCATGCTGCTCTGCTGACACATCTGCTTGTTTTCCTGGGTGTTGGGATGTTGGGAGACAGAGGATGCTGTGTGCGTCGTGTTGGCTCGTCTCAGGGGTTAGAGAGTAACCTCTCAATCGCTTGCTCTGCCAATCCTACCTTGCTGCACTTCTGCGTTGGCATAACCTTTTTTTGGAAGTTTGATGCAAGGGTGCCTGCCTCAGGGTTGATGTGATTGTGTATCCCCAGCTACACAATAGCATAACAGTACTAAAGAAAGCCCACGCAAGGCACATCTGAGCGCTTTTAATCTGTTCTCGTGCTCTGAAACTACAGAGTCACCGCTTTGAATTCTGCTTTTTCAGCGCGTTGATGTCTGGTATTTGGACGTGGTACTTCTTGTTGCATTCATACATATTTAAGCTATCTGGTTATCAATCACAGCACATTTTTTAAAGCCAAACAAAAAAAACCAAACCCAACTCTATTTCCAAGGTGTCACATCCTCGCCTGAGTGGTATCTGGGGAGATCTGTTCCATCCAAAACACTATTTCCCAGATCAGAAAACAAATTCTAAATTAAAAGGCCTTCATTCTGAGGTGTTCTGATGTAACAGGAGCCAGGTTTAAATTTAGGTTTTCTTGAGAAGGACAGGAATGGGAGAATCTGTGTTAGCTGCTTTCAGAGGGGGCAGCTAGTCTGCATGGAAAGGGGAAATAAATGTGGGCTCTGGTCTCATACTGGACACCCCAGTGAAGCTGGAGGTGTTGGGCGGTAGTGGGAGGGGAATAAGAAAGAAGCTGGTGAGTGAAGCAGAGCGTCTCGGGGAGCTGGGAAAGGAAGCAAGGACATGGACAGAAAACCAAGTGATGTACAGAAAGAAACTGAGTGCCCTCTTTCATGAAAGGGCTTTTTATCATGAAAACAAAACTAGATTCTTTCTGTTGAAGGAGTATAGTAGTTTGCTTAAAACTAGGTTTTATGGTCACTTTGTCAATTATACATCCAGGTAAGGACCCACTTGTTTTGTTTTTTTTATCTTTGTCTCGACTAGATTTGTATTTGTTTTGCATTATGCAGACTTCTTAAAATTGTTTTTAAAGGTTTTTTTATTTACTATCCGCTAAAATAATCAAACTGTTACAGTACTGCCTTCTTTTGCATGATAAGTTTCTAGCAGGCTTTTAACATCATGATAAAGCAAATAACTTGTCTCCTTGCCTGACTTAAATGCTTAACAAAAATCATAATGCCGTGTAAATGCCAATTCCTTACATGTTCTCTGGTATGCCCGAAAAACAATTTATTTTGTCCTGTTTAGGAGGAGGAAATACAGAGTAAAATTGTGAAGCAGAGGGTGTTCCTGAAGAGTGATCTGTTGAGGGGACGGTGGAACATGCGTCTTGCAGTGACGGGGCTGTCGTGTGTTAAATATCTCAGCCTATTTAGAGATGAAAACCAGTAACTAAACGGCAGGAGATGGCTGAGGTTGATGGTATCAAGTGTCTAGAGCAAGAGAAGTTAATATATCAATTTTTTTTGTGTGGATTGAATTTTTAGCACCTAAGGACTGCAGTCATGGTACACTGATGTGATTTAGAGGTGGTAAGTACAGACTGAAAGGGAAGGTCTGTATTCTTGGTTTTTTGTAGAGAAAGATAAGTAATCGGCATTTTCTTATCTAGTGGCAAAAAGTTAACAGAAATATAACTTCTGGGTTTTGGTCCAAATTTGCAGTCAAATACCTGTGGTGAATATGAGAAAATCTGATAACTGATGTAATCCTGTCACTTCTCAGACCTTTCTTTTTTTCAATCTGTGTTTGTTTCTGTAAACTCCAGTACGTCCCTGCTCTCTCTTTTTTTCCCCAGAGAATTCAAACCCTTTGCGAAGGAATAGTCATTGAGCAACCTGTATAAAATTAGAAGTGGGAAAGATACAGAATTTTGCTCAGATGAAAACAGTAAAAAGGTCAAGGGTCACTGCTTGTGGGTACTTTGGGGAACAGACATGGGAAAAGGGTAAGCGAGTGTAAGCTCAGGGATGGTGTTTGCACAAGAACAAGCAGATAGGAAGAATGAAGACCTGAGTTTGGAGAAGGAGAGCGCTGGGAGAGGTCTGTAGGACATGCTTTCAATCGCAGTGCCTGGGACAAAAATCAAACTGCTTTGAATGGGAAGCGTGCTTACACCTGATGCTCTGCAGGAAAGCTGCTGGGTCATGGCTGCTTGCCTGCTGTGCTCTCTGGGAACTTGTGGCAAGAAAATAGGCAAGGATACTCACTTGCACTGGTTGCCCCTGATCTCCATGACTCTTGAGTACTAAAGATAGTTTAATAAATGTATATAGTGTGGACTCCTGCTCTTCTTCCCCTGGCAGCACATAGTGACCCCTTCCTAGCGCAGCATCCACCGAGGAAGAGGCAGCCCTGGCTGCCAGGGGTATGGGCTCGGAGGGGTCAGTCCTGTTGGAGTCTGTTTCCCTGGTGTTTAAGGGCCTATTTCTAAAAACTTTGTTAGCACCTGGTTCTCTTCAGTAGTTTGCTGGAATATTCATGCTTATGTGGCTTTCAGGAAGACTGAAAATACCTATAAAGCAGCTGGTGCTGGTGTGCTGTGTCTGTGAGGGGTATTGGAGAGGAGGAGGGGGAAAAGTCGTCTACTCTCAGCCTGATAGTTGTTCCCTCTTAAACTTACCTTTGTTTTCTTGGTCAGATTCTGGAGAAATAAGCCAGGGTCCAGCTAAACACTTTTTCTTAAAATTGTTAAGTTATTTGTTTTCATAATCAAGGGAAAATAATCTCTGTGGGTGATTGTGGACTACCCAGATTTGATCTAAATGATCGACTATATCTGACTAATAAAATAGAAAATGAATGTTGTAAAGAAATCTACAGAACCCATACTGTAGGTGCATGTAAGATGTGTCTGCAAAGTCCTGATGATTGTTATCTGTAGGCATTTGAAGGACAGAGGTGCAGAAGCTGATGTCTGAGATCTTGCTTTTATTGCATCTGTTTCCTCTGCAGAGTTAAATCAAAGAGTGATTTACCATTGCAATTGTGCAGAAGCATCTGGCATCATGGAAGTTTCATCTCTGGTACTGTGCACATTTTAGCACTGGATCCCTAAGAGAACAAGATCTTGTTTCTGTGCAGGGTTGAACACGAAGGGATCTAGCTTCTTTAAGAGCGTTGGCAGACAGTAAAAATTAACTGGGACTGTTTACATGAGGAGTGTGTTAGGAAACAGGCAATGACATTATTTGGGTTGAGATGAGTTACAGCTCTATTAGGTTTCACACCAAATGCTGAGGATGTGCCAAGGCCTTGTGCTGTTGCAGAGGCTCCTCAGTCAGTGGCATGTGTGCTGCTAGCGATGGCACTTTAGGGGTGTTGGGATCCTCCTTCTGTCCCTTCTGGCTTTTAGACGCGTAAGTCTCAACCCCTTCAGTAGAGTGGTGATCCTTTTTTCAGTACAGGGAGTTAATCTCCAGTTTCTCTGACATATTGTGCTATCATAATCACCGTTTGACTTTTTGCTTTGTTTTGGGGATGAGATGGGGTATATTTGGTGTCCTCAAATGTCTGGAAAGGGTAAGTAAACTTCCTTGCCAGCTCAGACTATTGTGGAGCCATGCTGTGTGATTAAAAAAGAAGAGAATTTCAGAAAATTTCAGAAGAGAATCCTCTACTGTAACAATTAGCTGTGTTCTCTGGCCTAACAACAGAGCTTAATAATGGCAACTCAAAAATAGTATGTTGTTAAACTAAAATAGCACATTCTCCTATGCATGTTTACAGTTTCCTTTAGAAAATCCCACAGATCTGGCTGAGACAAGGAGAAGTTCTCTGTAAAAGGTATCTTTTATTGAATGTGAGTTACTTTGTGGCACTGAGAATCTTGAAAGTGTTTTGGTTATTTTTAGGTCTACAGTGGCAAGAGCCTCTGATTGTTGGGAAATTGCAACCTGAAATGATCTTAGTCTGTAGCGTTATAATCGATAGTAGCATTTGTGGAGGTTGGAGATAGAAACAGAACAAATAAGTGTTTGAATAAATACCCTTTGCCTTAAATGTTTTAACAATAGTAAACTTACATAAAGTAACAGTACAGGAATTGTCTGCGTTAAAGAGAATTTTTCACTCCTTGGTTTCACCCCGTGTTTGGGAGACTTTCTGCTCATTCGCTGTATGAATGTATGAAAGATTGAAAACTTTTTTCCCCTCTTGTCTCCAGGTGTGAAGGTTGGAATCACTACCCAGAAATGAGTAGCTTGATGGTTTCTTGCCTAGCAGTTCATCCACTGATGCTTTCTGCTCTTTATCTACAAGAGTTTGTACTCATGATCTTTGTTAAATTCTTGCCTTTGTTCCACACCCATTCAGTTTACAAGACTGTTCAAAGTTGGTAATTTGGTCTTGAATTTCTTACTACTGGTAGATCATCTGCGGCTGTCTTTGAAGACAGAGGGATGTCCAAAGTGGCAAATAAAAGAGCTTGGAGTTACTTCATATGATATATACCAGCCTTGAGAAAGTCTTCAGCTTATTTAAATATTTGTTTATGTGGAGTTCATTTTTTCTCATTTGCATTTCCTTTTATTCTGATGGTGAAAATTTTCTTTTGTTAGGATTAATTTTTTTAAAAAAAATGTTCTTCCATGTAGGACACAGCTTAGGCTACGGCTTTGTGAACTACGTAACTGCAAAAGATGCTGAAAGAGCAATAAACACACTGAATGGCCTCAGACTTCAGTCAAAAACTATCAAGGTAGGATGTCTAGATTTTTTTTGTCTTCTATGAAAAAGGCTTTCTATTAAACTTCATTCTGGTGGTAAGGCTTGTGAGCTCTCCAACTGCCAGGGAGGAGCAGTGAAGTGAGCTGTTAGCCTCTCCAGTTTTATAACAGCTTTGTATTCAAAAGTTCCCTTTTTTCTTTCATTCTCACCATTTTTACAGTAGTAGTTGGGATCATTCCAAATTGTTGCCAGGCTTTTGGACTCATGTACATCTCAGATACTTGATGATCTCTGTTTTAAATCGTGTTTAATACACATGCACTCCTCTTCCAAAATAACAGCTGCTACTGTTTGTGTAGGAAATCACACCTGCTTAGGTGATGCTTGTAACTTTCGCTAGTAGCAGAAATTGGGATAGAAAACTGCACTTCAGCTGGTGAAATCTTTTTATGAGGCTTTAAAAAACATACTGACAGCACAAGTTTTTGGTGTGGTCTGTGGTTACTGACAGGTCCAGTGTTAGAAGTTAGAACTTCAGACAGGGATTTTTCAACGTAGCAGATACGTTTGTTAAGAGCATCGGTATTGGTCTACTGTTGTCCCTCTATAGCAGTGCCACTATATTCTTTATCTGCTGGATAAACACAATGAATGGAGTTATACAGGGACATGACTTTTTTCTTTTTCTTCTGGCAGTTTTCTCCGGCGTTCTCCCTGTTCCACTTTTTTGTAGTACAGTAAAAAATGCCTGCATTGTTTAAAGGGGAATAAATAAAAGTGACTCATTACCAAATAAATTCCTACTTATACCCTGAACATGTTTTTATTTCTTTTTAAAGGTTTCATATGCACGTCCAAGTTCTGAAGTTATCAAGGATGCTAATTTATATATTAGTGGACTACCAAGGTCAATGACACAAAAAGATGTAGAAGATATGTTTTCACGTTTTGGACGCATCATCAACTCACGTGTGCTTGTGGATCAAACTACAGGTGAGCTCTGTTGCATCAGCTTCATCAAACTGCACTGCAAAGCATGTGTGAAGTTTCTCAGAGACTGGTAATTCCTAAACTAAATTAGATTTCCACAAACTAACTCTGACACCTGGTGTCAACCACTGGTACAGTTTTAATGGGATACCCTTTTCCAGTGATTTTTTTTTTTACAACACAGAATGACTTACGCTGCCTCCTTTGCTAGCTTACAGTCCCAACCTCATGTCATATTTTATGCTCTTATTGCGAGTTTTACCAGGCTGAGCTGCTGATTTGCCAAATCTCTCTTGCCTAGGACACTTGTTACTGTAGTGCAGTGTGCTTCTGGGTGATGTTTGTAATCTGGAGTGCTAATGTTACCTTTACTTTACACAAATGCAACTGTTATCCACAGGTAACTTCCAGGCCGTAGTTTTATTAAAAAGTAAAACAATGTGTTCTGCCTTTTATACCAACCTAGTACTCACACACAGAGTTCTCTCATTTTAAAACATTTGAGGTGTCTTGCAGTCCTGTAGTTACTGCTAACCAAAACAATGAACTTAATACACTTAATACTACCCTCTGGAGTTTTCTTAATGTATTTTGATTATTAAACAATAAAGGAGGAATAAAATAAGAGGAGAAGTTGCTTAGTTAAGCACTCAGCTCAGGGGAGACTTAAGTTAAGGATTTCCTTTATGGTTTTAATTCTGACTCTGTTTTCACAGAGTTTTAATTTCTTACCTTATTATTTCAGACTGTATCAGTGAAGAGTATGGCTTATTCTTAGGTGTTCAGTGTTATTTCCAGTGGCCCATATGTCACGTATGAGTTTGGAGAGAGCTTTTACAAACACTTTTTCATTGATTATGCATGTGCTATACTAGAATAGAAGATGGTCTAATTCTGGCAGTTCCACAGTGAACACGTGTCTGGTGCCATGTACATTTACAGACAGAAGTACTGCGATTGAAATCTCTCCAGGAATAATAGAGTTTTCATTGTGTGTGCTGAGGCTAATTCAGTGTCAGCTCAGAATACACCACTTGCTTTCAGATGACCGTAATAATGTATTGTTTGAAGAATGTATTCTGTTCACATTATAAAATTTAATGTGTTCATAGCCTAGGTTTCTTTTTCCCTTCAAAAATGTAGCCATGCCTTGGCTTTAAAACCTGCATTTCATGTCTTGATCTAGTCCCAGTTAGGACAAATTTTAATTTAGGTTGTGCTCTAACTCTTGAGAATTAACCTGTTTAAAAATATGCTTTCTACAATGTTTGTAATTTTAAATGAACGCTATGATAGATCAAATGAGAAACACAAAGATGAACAGCATAGAACTGGAGAAAAAGTAGCAAAACATTGAGGCAACCCTTGCTGCCTTCTGGGCGATGCTGTGATGCTGATCTGTGCCTTTCCAGGGTGGGAAATGCTTCCTCCTGGCGCAGAAAGGCCGATCTCCCTGGCATTGGAGCATGTAGTGCCATCAGCAGTCATGCGACGAGCCGATCTGGTCCAGCCTCCTGTTTTGGAAGCAACCAGCAAGAAATAAAAAAAATAGACTAATTTCTTCACAGGCTGACCCCTTTCCAGGTCCTTCTGGAAACACCAGCTGCACAGTTGGTGCTGGCCATCTCCTGCCATTGTTCTGCAGTTATGTTGTTCAAAAAGTACAGCAATTTAAGAAATAGGCTTTCTCTGTGTGACTCCACATACTTAACAACATGCAGTAAACAAGAGGAGCTGTTATTTATGGAAGTTCTCCATAAATGTGCCCCAAATGAAATTAAACCTTTCCTAGCGACCATCCTATTGGTAGCTGTAGGGGTTGGATTCCCTTTCGCTTGCTTGCTGCATGCCCAGGATTCTGTCATGCTGCATTTGTGAAATATGGGAAATTATGTTCAGTTGTTACGAACAACTTTGTGATCTATGATAAACAACTTTTGAAACTGTCTTTGAAGATCGCCCCATGTCGCTTTTACAGTAGAGACAACATGAGTGTGTTTGATACAGCCCTTTCTGGAGCAGAGTTGGTAAAGTCCTGGGATAAGTCTGGCCATAATATCTGCTTTGGAATGAAGTTTAAACCAAATGTGCCCTTTTAGCTTCACTGTGATAAACAGTGTTTCCCACTATGGTCAAGTCACAGATGAGAAATGGGGATGAGGGGAAGAAGAGATCTTGTAAGGCACAACTTCTGCCTCAGT